ATATAAAATATAATATATAAGTTATAAATGTAGCATGTAGCATATTATTTGTATATTTCTCTTATTCACATGTATATATCTATTTCTNTTCTATATATTTTGTGTATATTGTATTTTAAGGAGAGGGTATTATAGGCGAAAGCCTGTTCCCCAATCCTATTATGTAAATAAATATTGTTCATACAAAAAAAACAAATCGGTAAGAGTCAATTAATTTTGGTGGAACACAATGGTCTACTACTTATGGTTAGATCCCTTGATAAAAGTTTAGTTATTCTAGGCGTTTCTAGAAGTTGAAAACAATGGACTAGAGTCCGGAATATAACCCAGAGTTGGATCAAACAATTTGATTTTGTAAATGAGATAGAGCAAAGGTGAACCATCTTTTGAATTGTTAGAACAAGTTGATGTATGCATATTTGAGACATGAATGTAAGTTAACTTGGCAGCCATTCTTAATAGACGAGTGATTAATATGGTTATTGATTCGGTTATTTATAAACATTATGTATATACGTTACTATTTACATCATGTATGTACATTTATAAGACAATAAAATGTTTTGATAATAATCCATTCATCATAGAGTATATTACTATTCATCATAGAGTATATTACTATTCATCATAGAGTATATTACTATTCATCATAGAGTATATTACTATTCATCATAGAGTATATTACTATTCATCATAGAGTATATTACTATTCATCATAGAGTATATTACTATTCATCATAGAGTATATTACTATTCATCATAGAGTATATTACCATTCATCATAGAGTATATTACCATTCATCATAGAGTATATTACTATTCATCATAGAGTATATTACCATTCATCATAGAGTATATTACTATTCATCATAGAGTATATTACCATTCATCATAGAGTATATTACTATTCATCATAGAGTATATTACCATTCATCATAGAGTATATTACTATTCATCATAGAGTATATTACCATTCATCATAGAGTATATTACTATTCATCATAGAGTATATTACTATTCATCATAGAGTATATTACTATTCATCATAGAGTATATTACTATTCATCATAGAGTATATTACTATTCATCATAGAGTATATTACTATTCATCATAGAGTATATTACTATTCATCATAGAGTATATTACCATTCATCATAGAGTATATTACTATTCATCATAGAGTATATTACCATTCATCATAGAGTATATTACTATTCATCATAGAGTATATTACTATTCATCATAGAGTATATTACTATTCATCATAGAGTATATTACTATTCATCATAGAGTATATTACTATTCATCATAGAGTATATTACTATTCATCATAGAGTATATTACTATTCATCATAGAGTATATTACTATTCATCATAGAGTATATTACTATTCATCATAGAGTATATTACTATTCATCATAGAGTATATTACCCCATTATCAAACTAATCAATGTCAAGACTAGAAGCAAAAATACGACAATCAAACCGAAATATCCTTCCTCTCGATTTGAACACGATATCGGACTAAATCTGTAAATGAAGGAATGCTATTTTAGTCAGAGAAGACTTGAATTCTTACTTAGGGCCAGCTTGACACCCTGAGTCGTGTACACGTCCCCGTCTCTCCATGCATATATCCATTAAACACAATATATCATAATATTTTAGTCTATTTATTATACCATAAGAATTTCTTCTTTACATTCAAACAAGTAACTACTTTTACAATGAATGTATATGCCAATTAACTTGATAAGTTCAAAAATATTTCTAAAGAGTTGAAAATACGGGTAATGGTTGAAAATGTTTTTAAAATAGCAATAGATAGTAACAAAATATTTCCAAAATAAAATCTTCTTAAAGATGAGTTTCTTTATATTTTAGTGTCAAATAAGGCAAACTATTTGATTAATTGGTGTTTCGAATGAAATACCAATCATAAATGTCAAGGTATGTACAGTCTGGATAAACAAAAAAAAAAAATAGACTTTTTGACCTTTCTTAATCGGTCACTCATTGGAATTTTACTGGTAATGCTCTTCTAATTTAGCTGATTATGAATTAATCATGGACATGTAAGTATTTTCAAAATGAAAATACGGGTGCCAATCTTTAACAAATATGCGATAATTAATTCCGATATTTCTGAATAAAACAAGAAAAGATTTCTAAATTCAGTAAACCGTATTACCACTACTAGAACGCCAGTCTAATAGGTAATAATAAGTTTAGGTAGTCTGGAATCAATTTTTATTAATTCTACCCATCAAGGACACGGGCTGCTCGTGTTGATATTTTGCATCGCACACATCGGATGTGCAGAAATGACTTTAGCTGATGTATATAGTTTACTCTAGACTTGGTAATACATGTATATGGGTGTATATAGTGGTCAAATAAGAAGTATTTTAGTTTTTAGTACATAAAGAAAGTTGATTGAACAATAAAAAACTAAAATTCATGAGCTAGAGAAAAATATAACGATATAGAAATAAGATTCTACATAAATATATTTTAAAAGTAAAATATTGAAAGAAAAATAAGAACTATATTATAAGAAACTTGATGTGTTCTTTGTTTAGTTAGCTTTGGGTAGGCCATAAGAAGGCAGGAAGTTGCCTCCACGTTTCTGACCGAAACATTTCTTTACGATCTCTACAGCTGTTTTTACTGTCACGTCAGAGTTACCCACTGTTGTATTGATCTCCGCTATATCAACTACCGACAATCGACCTACAAACACATGAAAAGTTAAATAAGCGTTTATAAGCAAACATTTAAAAACTCGTACTGAGAATCTAAGAATCAAGGCCTTCTCACGAGACGAGCTTCGATTACCGTCAACTAGAATGCTACCCGTAATGGCCCGTTGAAGATCAGTACTAATTCTCACACTTTTCTTGGTGGAGAAAACTCTCCTCAAGAGACACGTGACGAAGACCAACAACCAGAATTCTGTCCTGAAAGACATCAAATTTAACCCTAATTTAAAAATTTTCTAAAGAAGCAAATCCGATAGGAGACCGATATACGTTCTGAGCTACTGTAGTTTTAGATATGATTTATAAAAACAACTCACCAGTATTTGCTAGTACCTCCATGATGTATTGTCCTTCTCGGAATGATAACCCACCAGCCACTGAAATATAAAATAACTAATTATTTTCACAACGACGCGTTGTTGTCCATCAGCGACTGATATTTCTTTATTAGTGAAATGTAATTTCAAATCCGAATCCGGTCTTGTTTAATATCTTTGTTTACCTTGTCTTTTTCCTTAAACGGCTTTTTGTATTGTGTTAAACATGATTTGTGGCGATCTCTAACTACAAGAAGCAGCAATTGGGTTTATAGTGCCTTTGATTATGTTTCATTACTTGCAATGTATGTAGATCCGCCCAAATCGATCAAATCAACTGTCAAAGATTATTAACGAAATAACGTAAAGATAAAGACACGATAAAACTGAGTCTGATAGCAAATCAGGGGAGACTAATCACTTACCAGGTGTACCAGTAGACGGTGTAATAGCAGGATCTAGAGCGTCTACATCAAAGCTAAGATGAATTGGTCGAGTTCCTGTAGGATCAACGGCTTTCAGGGCTTTATCTACTACCTCTCCAATTCCCATTCTATCTACATCCTGCATGGAGTAGTGGGCAATACCAAAATGTTCTATGATGCATCTGCAAGGATAGATAGGCTACATTTGTAATAGTTATTTCTATATAACTCATCAATGTGTTAAATTCCCTCCGAGATAAACATACAAACAATGCAATGCAAACGTTTTGAAGCGTTTCGACGGTTCGTCTACAAGAGTACCTGAAGGGCAGATTAAAACAGTCAACTGAACACGGGGCACAATCTCACAATCCTATAATGTACCGATAGGAAAGGTCTGACACAATGTAGTTTTCTCTAAAAATCTTGAAATATTTTCAGTATTTATACAGTTATTCAAAATATGGACTGAAAAGTTGTTAAAGTACTATTTAGTATACCTCTCGCCTTCGTCCACGTCTCTTAATCCAATATAAACAATATCCTTTACACTAATACTAAAAATAATAAATAGTTTAATCAAGGTCGAGAACAATCTTTATCAAATCAGAGCAATATTTCAACTAGAATAAGACGTTCAGGGGTGAGAGACCGAAGATGATCTCCTCTTACCCAAGTGATACCAAATCGATTGCAATATACATATACTGTGGTCACGCCTCAACACATTTCACTTTCTGAAGTATAAAGTGAATTGCTCATGAGAAAAGAGTCTGAAGAAATTGTAGAGTTTATAGCTTCTAGAAATATTTTGCGTAACTCTCCTCCTCGAAATGAAAATGAATGGATGGAGTTTTACGTCCTACTTTCTTCTCCTCGAGAGAAATATCTACATTGGTAGATAACTTGTGGTTTTAGGAAATGAATTAATAAATCGGTTGTGTTTCTGAAAACTATTAATTCTATTACAGAATATAACAATCAAAACTGTCAGTATGGGGTACGTGTCTAATGTTTAATTAACACAAGTTTGTTGTGGAGGTGAGATAAAAACAAAATAAAATAATGGATTATTGGGAACATTTTCATTAGACAATATTTCTGTCCAATAAAATATTGGATACGTACCAAGGGAAGCACCATTCAAAACCTTTGAGTTTAGGAACGTAAGCCTCCAGTTCCTTAGATACAAATGATAACGGCATGCCGTGGATGTTTCCAGACGAAGACGTAAGTGGTGTGTTGATATCTGCGTGTGCGTCTACCCATACAACTACGATATTTGGTTCAGCTAAAGCGTGTCCGTGAATTGACCCCATGGCCATACTGTGATCACCGCCCATTGTTAGACACAACTGTTCCGACTTGACTATACTATAAACAGCATCAGATATCTACAAAAAAAAAACCTTGACTTATGACCCAAAAAAACCTCAACTGAAATATTTCAAATGAAGGTTCAAATATGAGATTCCTGAGCAATTTTTAGAATAAAAATTCTGGTTCGCTTACTACCAAGGTTCTTCTGTTAAACGATAATGTTAATAAATATATTTTACCTTTTTGTTGGCTGCACCAACTGTTTTAGGATTTTTGATCTTGTCTTTGGGGTTGTCGTTCTCTATTGTTTCAAACTGTAGATCTCCATGATCAATAACCTGATTACCTACAGAGAGATTATTCATTTTATCGATAGATGTATCCAGTCCAGTATCGGGACAACTGGTTAGCGATACATGTCTCATTTTTGTACAGAAATTGTACAAGCAATATATAAGGTGAAGGACGTCAGGATTAACACAACACTAATTGCATAAATATACTTACCCAAATCTTCTAGAACTTTAATAATTCCTGCATTTCGGAGAGCTTTGGGTCCATTTTCTGTTCCATCTCGTGGCTACAAATTAACAACTCATAATACATTAATGGTTACATGATGGAATGTAATGTTAAATTGGTGTTGAACTATGGTGTGCAGAAATCTACAATCAATGTTGTTTCCAAAGCAAAAGTTAAGAATCAAAGCCACAGGAAGACATCAAATTTTTGAGTAGGTAACATGCCCTGCTAAGCTAGACGCATAATTAACACAAAACAGTTGACCATTCATACCTTACGTTCAATAACGCATAATGGTCCTTTATAGAAATTTACTATTTTCTACTGAACAAGTCGTGTCATATCAAGGTAATTGAGGCACGAGAAATGTTTTATTAAAACAGACTAGTGTTAGGATTAGTGTTATGGTTCCGGTACAAGATCCATTATATTTTTTTCCGACAGTACAGAGAAAACTGCAGGAACACTTGTGGCATACCAAACTATGATTTCATAAGAAAATATATTAATATCAAAACCCTTTACCTGTCCTTTAGAAAGAGGAACGCCTAAAACTCCAACTTTAAATACTGGGGGCATTTTTACTCCAAATTCTTAACTCAATCTTTAAAAGTTTGTCTGTATCAACATTACATTCGCATTCTGTTAAAATCTCGCGGTTAGCAGTTTATATTCTGGAGCTTTGAGGGGCGTTGCAAAAACCAGTTGGATTTTTATCATTGACAAAGCAGTTTTAGTTCGAATTGGTGATGCAACGTTGTAGACGCTAGTTTCAGTTTCAAAATCTGACTATTTGATTGGCTAACCAATTGTAGTAAATCACAACAGCCAATAATTATCAAGGGTTATTTTGTCAATCAAAATTACAACAAGTAGGTTAAATATTGTGTTTTTGGGACTCAATTTTCAGAAATCTTAGATTTTAAAAATGAAATTTGTTTAAGTAATTTGTAACAAGAGATTAAAATATTGTTTTTTAAGTGCTGCACGTAGCTTTAATATGTAAAGCGTGACGGACGATGGTGTTTTTGAATCTGTCGGTGTAAAAGAGAAAACTATAATGCCTTAGTTCAGATGAACTCAAGGAAATTCTATTCTATTTGTAACGCAGCTGGTAACTTCTTGGTAATGATTTTACACAGACAACAATGTAGATTCTCAAGGATCTGTCTACAAGTTAACTCTCTTGAGATCCATTTTGTCCACGTTGCAGCTGAGACAAGTCGTTATGCTTAAACGCACCTTTCCAGACTGTACAAACGTTGATTAGCTAGAGAATGACTGACGTTCCTGCTGTCCGATTAGGCGATGAACGGAGTATTCTACGATATACGAATTGACTGTGTCAGATAACGATATTTACCCGACTTACAGTAAGAATAACTGGTTGGTTTGATGATGATCAGAGAATCTACGATAAAGGGACTAAGTGTGAGATGTAGATAACGTCTCAATGGTTCTAATAGATGTATTCGGAATGACAAACAATCAGTCACCATGGTATCCACTATCACAATGTTATCATAATACAGTTACAGCAATTATAATAATAAAAGAAAAAGGTTATTACATTGCGTAGTTGATATATTTCTTTCACCAATCTTAATCGTATATACTTAATGTGTAAAATTATTTAAATTTATAATTCAGTAATAAAAAGACAGTGAGATATGTAAATTATTTGAAGTAGGTTTCTATGTTTTGTAAATGTACACGACAATTAAAATGTTAATATATGAATTATCATATATTGTATTAATGAAATATAATCTCAAGCTCAATATGATTAAACTGGTGTAATGAAATATCATGACATCTAATTATTTTAAGAAAGTCAATCCGTATTGTAGATGCCCTTAAAGTACAAATGCCTGTAAAAAGTTGTAAGTCAAGTTACCCAATACTTTATAAACCATGACATTATCTCACAAAGAATACGGAATGCCTTTTACGCCAGAATAGTAAGAAAAGTAACACGAAGAAATTATTTGATCGAGCTGATAAATAACGCAAATCGGTTTCATTTATTCATTTTCATCTGTTCTAGTTGCTTACTATCTTTTCAGAAAGTTACACAAGCAGAAAACACATCCTGTTGAAATTATAGTTAAGAAAAATTGTGTGCTGAGAAAACCGCTTGGACTTTTTTCAAAAGTATTAAAATTGACATTTTCTTTGACTAGTATCCCATATTGCTTTTACCCTAGAATATAGATTCAACTTAAGAAATTTCTAGGCTGTCCACCTTGAGCCATCCGATGATGTTAAGTATGTAATAAACCTAGAAGTAGTATATCTATATATCTTGTGTTTTTAATGTTACCTATATGTGTTTCTAAACGTAGTATGTAATAAACCTAGAAGTAGTATATCTATATAACTTGTGTTTTTAATGTTACCTATATGTGTTTCTAAACGTAGTATGTAATAAACCTAGAAGTAGTGTATCTATATAACTTGTGTTTTTAATGTTACCTGTATGTGTTTCGAAACGTAGTATGTAATAAACCTAGAAGTAGTATATCTATATAACTTGTGTTTTTAATGTTACCTGTATGTGTTTCTAAACGTAGTATGTAATAAACCTAGAAGTAGTATATCTATATAACTTGTGTTTTTAATGTTACCTATATGTGTTTCTAAACGTAGTATGTAATAAACCTAGAAGTAGTATATCTATATAACTTGTGTTTTTAATGTTACCTGTATGTGTTTCTAAACGTAGTATGTAATAAACCTAGAAGTAGTATATCTATATATCTTGTGTTTTTAATGTTACCTATATGTGTTTCTAAACGTAGTATGTAATAAACCTAGAAGTAGTATATCTATATAACTTGTGTTTTTAATGTTACCTGTATGTGTTTCTAAACGTAGTATGTAATAAACCTAGAAGTAGTATATCTATATAACTTGTGTTTTTAATGTTACCTGTATGTGTTTCTAAACGTAGTATGTAATAAACCTAGAAGTAGTATATCTATATATCTTGTGTTTTTAATGTTACCTATATGTGTTTCTAAACGTAGTATGTAATAAACCTAGAAGTAGTATATCTATATAACTTGTGTTTTTAATGTTACCTGTATGTGTTTCTAAACGTAGTATGTAATAAACCTAGAAGTAGTATATCTATATAACTTGTGTTTTTAATGTTACCTGTATGTGTTTCTAAACGTAGTATGTAATAAACCTAGAAGTAGTATATCTATATAACTTGTGTTTTTAATGTTACCTGTATGTGTTTCTAAACGTAGTATGTAATAAACGTAGAAGTAGTATATCTATATAACTTGTGTTTTTAATGTTACCTGTATGTGTTTCTAAACGTAGTATGTAATAAACCTAGAAGTAGTATATCTATATAACTTGTGTTTTTAAAGTTACCTGTATGTGTTTCTAAACGTAGTATGTAATAAACCTAGAAGTAGTATATCTATATAACTTGTGTTTTTAATGTTACCTGTATGTGTTTCTAAACGTAGTATGTAATAAACCTAGAAGTAGTATATCTATATATCTTAGTGTTTTTAATGTTACCTGTATGTGTTTCTAAACGTAGTATGTAATAAACCTAGAAGTAGTATATCTATATAACTTGTGTTTTTAATGTTACCTGTATGTGTTTCTGAACGTAGTATGTAATAAACCTAGAAGTAGTATATCTATATATCTTAGTGTTTTTAATGTTACCTGTATGTGTTTCTAAACGTAGTATGTAATAAACCTAGAAGTAGTATATCTATATAACTTGTGTTTTTAATGTTACCTGTATGTGTTTCTAAACGTAGTATGTAATAAACTTAGAAGTAGTATATCTATATATCTTAGTGTTTTTAATGTTACCTGTATGTGTTCCTAAACGTAGTATGTAATAAACCTAGAAGTAGTATATCTATATAACTTGTGTTTTTAATGTTACCTGTATGTGTTTCTAAACGTAGTATGTAATAAACCTAGAAGTAGTATATCTATATATCTTAGTGTTTTTAATGTTACCTGTATGTGTTTCTAAACGTAGTATGTAATAAACCTAGAAGTAGTATATCTATATATCTTGTGTTTTTAATGTTACCTGTATGTGTTTCTAAACGTAGTAGGTAATAAACCTAGAAGTAGTATATCTATATAACTTGTGTTTTTAATATTACCTGTATGTGTTTCTAAACGTAGTATGTAATAAACCTAGAAGTAGTATATCTATATAACTTGTTCTTGATGATTATTTGTTTCTGTTCATTTAATTTAATTAAATGTATTTTGCTGTGAGTCACGTTTCTCTTTATAGAAAAGATCCAAACTCTCTGATCTACAGCCAATTAGATCCTGTTAAAAGGAGACAGGAGAGGGGTAATATAGGCGAAAGGCTGTTCCCCAATCCTTTTCATTATCATATGAATAAAATATTGCTTACAAAAAAAGTGTTAACAGAAGAGTATCAATACGTTTGTTTGACTCCAAACCAAATTTAAATTATTTTTTTATTCATCTCGTAGACATTGGCTATATACACTGTATAACTTATTACTCTCTTTTGAGTTGAATTTTAGAACTATTTCATTTGTGTAACATTTTATCTATACCATTCATTTCTACAAACGAGAAATTGAAAATAAAATAATCAGATAATGACATTAGTTTGATCATATTTAATTTCATAATTTTCTTGATAAAGTCAAACTTCTTCTAGTCAATTCCCTGTTTCTAGATGTCCTGAATGGATCTTTATATTATTTTTGAGTTACCTCCTGATGTTAAGTTTGATACAAGATCGTTTGCTTTCTCATTTCTCTTTTTTGAAATCATGACCCCGGTTGCCTACTTGACTTATTTCATGTCTACCTCATTGTTTTCTTAACTTGTGGATTTTTGCCTCCCAATTTGATTAGATAAATGTGGGTTAAAAAATACCAAATATAGTATCAGAATATACCAAAAGAATGACAAAAAAGGCCCTTATTCATCACTTTAATGGCATTTACAGAACGTTATTTTACTTGAATTTAATTATTTGCGGCTTGTTATTTTTTAATCTTTAATTTCGAATATCATTTTCAGGATTTATATTACTATAGCTGTAATCATGTCTAGTTGTATGGACGTTTGTTTATGCTGTGGATAAGCTCAGTCGGTAGATAAATTTTCGTCTTCTACGCGATTAGATTAGAAATTTTGATGACAAACCACTGCCAACTCTTCCGAGATGACCCTGTGTTGGCTTTTAACCTCTATCATTAATTCTTTTTGCTTCAGAACATTATAATATTCTTCCATTGTGACAAACCTAACAGTTACTCTACAGTCATTCATTCATTCATTCATTCATTCATTCATTGATAAGCTGTATACTATATTATTGATAAACTGCACAAATAACCCACTACAATAGATATAAGACTTTGATTAGCTGTATAGTTTTAATGAATTATAACAAAACGTCAAATGCATCAAGTTGTGCACAATTCATCGACCTGAAGGTTCCGACTGTCCTTGAAATTGACATCCGGTTATATAAGTTTATTTATAACTTATATAACATGCCTCCATTTTGAATCACAGGACTACCACGAGTTGTGTTTATAAAACGGTGAATGGTTATATATAGACACTGGTGTTTGATAGTCACTATCTTAACATTTATACAGCCAACATGAGGGTTTTACTAGTCGCCTTGCTAACTGTCACTATTGTGTTTACCAACGCCTCCCCGGCAGATCTGTGGCGAGCTGTGTTAGACCCAGAAGTTTTGTATGAAGTCTCTGATAATATTCCTGCATTGGCTACGAAATTAAACCTGACAACGTTGGTACAGTTTGTAACCAAAGCGGGACTTGCAGGACCTCTGTCTGGACCAGGTTAGTAAGTTTTTATCTCTATTTTGTGGTACATGTGCATCCTCGGAACGTGACAAGTAGGTTGTATTATAATAATTTTATACATGTAGATGATATAGCACAATTACTATATAAACGACCATCTGCTTCTTCCATACATTCAATGAACTTTCCATCAGACCGGCATCCAATCCCAGTATTAAGAGTCAAGGTGTTTGTCTACCTCATCCCAAATTGTCAAACTGCAGATACAGTGGACGTTTAAAGGTAGAATAAGTGATATTCTACATTGATTGATGTCCATGTTATTTGTATTGTAGGTATCGATTACTCTTTTTTTAATAGGCGTATGACCGACCGTCTGTTTCGCTCAGGTGTAATAAGTGATTTTCAAGACTGAATAGTGTCCATATAGTTTGTATTGTAGATATCGATAATCATTGTATAATAGCGGGTTTGTTTGTTTACATCATGTGTATGTGTATGATATTTCATTTGAATGGGTTCTTGATGTAGAATTCTATTATTTATTTGTGATCGGGAGCACTGCTCTAAAGTTATTAAAATACTTGTACTGTTTAGACTAGTAAAACCTGCTTTTGATATGTATTGGTGCATTAATTTATATCTATGACCAATGTAGTTAGAAAGGAAACAATCAGAGCGCGACGTCAGGACGAAAATATATCCAGGGTTGGTAGAAACATCACTTCAGCATAGCTGAAGGTGGGCGTGAGAATAAACTGTAAACTGTGACTGGCTATACAAACACCTCGACATATTGAAATCGATGTCCTGACAAACACTGTATATAATGGTGTATATAGAGTAGAACATTACACAATATATCATTTCTCGGCGATTTTGACATATAATATAGTTGTTATAAAGTTTGTATTGGGTTCATTAAACCAATTTGAATGTATCGATGTTATTTTCAGGCCCATTTACAGTATTCGGTCCTGACAATGCTGCTTTTGGAAAACTGCCTAAGGCATTGGTGGACATACTTATGAAGAATACAACATTATTGGCCGAGGTATTGAAATATCATGTGATAGCAGGGGCCGTGTACTCTAGTGCGATAACCAATGAACTGACAGCCCCTACCCTGTTACCAGGAGCTGACATCCGATTGAACGTCTATGGCAAGGTAGATTTGTTTTTATTAAAAGTTAACAATTGAAAACCTTATTGACCAAGTTTGAGATTTTGAAATTTTTGTCCATTCTAAGAGGTAGTAGCCTTTTAAGATATAAAATACTTTTCCATTTCGCAATGAATTTCCTATAGACGGGTTTATTGCAAACTGAAAATCAGAGGCTGAAAATAATTTAGGCTCCCTTCACGCTAATTGTTTTTACTTCTTGCGATATTGAGGTTTAATTGGATGTTGTTTTTCTGAATTAAATAGAAACATTGACAGACATTGAAGCAATAACGATTCAAATTTCCATTTTTACAGACAGTAACGGCATCAGGAAGAAAAGTGATTAAAGTCGATCAGAATGCAACCAATGGTGTGATCCATGTACTCGGTGGTGTTATGCTTCCACCTGCAGGAACTGTTACTAAGTTGGCACAGGAAACTCCAAAAACATTCTCCACATTGGTTCATGCACTAGTTGCTGCTAATTTAGCTAATGCTCTGAACGGTGAGCTATCTTATTAACCTTTTGATAATGATCATTTTACATTCCAGCTTTATTTAATCAGAAATCGGGATATCCTTTTACTTGATGATAGTATATCTTAAAAAGAGTTACTTCCCTTCTTGATTATCTTCAATCCCGAAATATTAACACACAATTTTTATGACATTTATAATTTAAAACACCTACCCTAAATGATTTACGTTTGAGTCTGAGATACCTATAGCAAAGCATTTACATTCTTCCAACAACATAGAACTATGAAGAGTTGTTTCAAATATTTCAAAATATGTTTATTTTTATATATACTATCCCTTTCTGTATTTCAGGCCCAGGTCCGTTCACAGTCTTTGCACCAACAAATCAAGCTTTTGCCAATCTTCCACCTGGAGCTCTTATTGATCTCTTGAAGAATCCCAAAAAACTAGCAGGTGAGTACTTAGTAAAACGTGAATGAAGTCGCGTTGTAGTCGGAAGTTCTTGAGACGATTCTAAACATAAATAATTTCGTATGTCTGTCTATTACCACCCTCCCCCTATAAATCTTTACTATTACCTTGTCCCCCTATAAATCCTTACTATTACCACTCTTCCCCCTATAAATCTTTACTATTACCCCTCTTCCCCCTATAAATCCTTACTATTACCACCCTCCCCCTATAAATCTTTACTATTACCTTGTCCCCCTATAAATCCTTACTATTACCCCTCTTCCCCCTATAAATCCTTACTATTACCACCCTCCCCCTATAAATCCTTACTATTACCTCCCTCCCCCTATAAATCCTTACTATTACCTCGTCCCCCTATAAATCCTTACTATTACCCTCTTCCCCCTATAAATCCTTACTATTACCTCGTCCCCCTATAAATCCTTACTATTACCATCCTCCTCCTATAAATCCTTACTATTACCATCCTCCCCCTATAAATCCTTACTATTACCCTCACCCCCTATAAATCCTTACTATTACCCCCTCTCCCTATAAATCCTTACTATTACCATCCACCCCCTATAAATCCTTACTATTATCTCCCTTCCTCCTATAAATCCTTACTATTACCATCCTCCCCCTATAAATCCTTACTATTACCCCCTTCCCTCTATAAATCCTTACTATTACCTCCCTTTCCCTCTATAAATCCTTATTATTACCCCCCTTCCTCCTATAAATCCTTACTATTACCACCCTCCCCCTATAAATCCTTACTATTACCTCCCTTTCCCTCTATAAATCCTTATTATTACCCCCCTTCCTCCTATAAATCCTTACTATTACCACCCTCCCCCTATAAATCCTCACTATTTCGTGATTCTCTACTGGTCTGTCCCTGTCTTTTTCATGTCTAAGATTAAAGATTGAATATAACAACTTTTTAAAATGTTTATGATTGACTCACTACCCGGAAAATCACCACCTTGAGATAATTAAGGATGAAATTAGGACGAAAACCCCTTCCTTTGGGGCTTATAAATGAGGTTAAATTCGTTGATTTCCAGTTGTTTCATACCTCGACACAATGCCCTTGCTATTAGTTGCTATTAGTGTTGTTGATCAAATTTTCCATTAAATTTTGGTTGAAGACTCGATGCACATAAAAAGCTTTTCATGTCAGTGAATGACGAATAAGAATAGAATATGGAAGTGAATGGATTCTTATCTTGTTTTTGCTGTGATAAATATCAAATCTGTGCGGTTTTGTCAGGTCGTGTATGAATAATTCAGCTATCAGTAGTATACAAACATCAACATGACATTACAAAGGATCGTTTCGACTGATTGAATCACAATGGCAACCGGTAGGTCACACTATAGACATACACTTATCTCTATGTTACGGTTTATTATTGTAACTTGGTAAATTTACCCTCCGCTATATGACCTGATACTATATCTATATAATATAACAGTCTTTATTTGATATTTTAAATTTATTAATAAAAGAAATTTGTGTTCGGTTGATTAAATCATGTCACAACTTCAGATAGATAAATAGATTACATGGGTTTATAAAAGGAGCCAAAATAAGAGGTATCTCTCCGCGGCGAGCGCTCAGGGCCAAAACCCCTTAAGACTAGAAGTCTAGAGAATTGCCAGATGAGATGATTTATGGGCATTTAGAGGGCTTAACATCAAAATAATACCTTTCACGGGGGGGGGGGGGGGGGGATACAAAGAGCTGGGATAATATTTGCCACAAATGGCCATTGTCATAACAAACCGATATCCCGGTCGTTGGATGAACAACAATTATACCTGAGCTGAGACTTTATGTCCGTGCTTGAGCATCGTCGATAATATTTCAAAGATCGAAGGTTAAGTTTGTATTGATATATTCCTTGAGTAAATATCAACGATAACTTATCAAGTGACTGGACCTATTGAATTACGGACCATGGTTATCTATTTAGATAGGAAATTGATATATCACCAAAATTCAGATTGGAAATAGAATAGCAATATACAAAACAGACCTAGATACAAGTTAATCCTGTTCTGGTATCCTGTTGATTATATTCTAGGGTTTTATTCTTCAAGATATATTATAATTACATTATTAATGGTTTGTTTGCAGCTGTATTGTTATACCATGTTGTTGATGGAACATTCTACAGTGCTGCTTTATCAGATGGCTTGAAAGTTCAAACCAAAAATGGAAAAAATGTCACCGTTTCTATCAGTGGTTGTAAGTTATATAAAATTATTTTAATAGTCCTGGAGGCGTATTCTCAAAACCATTTAGGGCCGGTTCTACTTTCTCAGGCGACTCCATACGAGATTTTTTTTTCGGTATTTATGGAAACCGAAATGTACCGATCCATGCTGCATTCCATACGTCAGTGTATGGGTGTACAGTGGAGAAATCCAATGATGAAATGGGTGCAATTACCAATCCGCATCATTCGGGTTAGAAAAAGATTAAACGATTATAGAATAGGGGACAAATTATTAAAAAGGTATTTTGTCTGAGCGAACTGTGGTATAGTGGTATTTGTATCTTTTTATGAATTGCTCTCCATACTGTAATATAACTAATATTGATATGTATGTCACACATGCGCAATAAGAACTTCCTTAGTATTACTGACTTCCATGTTAGAATGATATATTATAAACTCCTATACTTTGTTTCTTACATCTTACATTAATATGATACCCTTCTACCCACGCAAGATACAATACGAACACCAGTTTGTCAGGTGTCCCAGTTTTGAATTAACCATTTTGAAATGATTAACGTTAGAATTTTCTCATTCCAGCTAATGTTAAAGTGAACGATGCCAATGTTATAGAAGCCGATGTAACAGTAACCAATGGAGCTGTCCACGTGATCGATGCCGTCCTTCTTCCACCTAATATGAGATTCGAACGCATCGACGAACATCGAACACATATTGTCCCTGTACAGAAACACGAACAATATCGAATGCGTCTTATCAAAACTTTAAATTCATTCCAAGTTGTTTAAATATCATGTAGTTATCATAAATATTTTTAAGTTTTAAATTTTGTTAATAAAATATTGTTTATAATTTATTTAATATTTTTGTTAAAAAAACTATTCCAGTGGTTTTTAACCCATTGACAAGGAAGAACTTGACAAATTCAGATAACTATCATTTACGTTACTTAAAGGTAAGGTAGATAACGCAAATAAAGCAATGATATCTGACGTCAAACACAGGTCGGCTGGTCAACTCGAGCAGGGGATGGGCAGTGGCGTTTCTGCACTCTGAAAAGAGGCTGTCCCGGCTTGAAATAAAAATAGTTGATATACTAGTAGCATACTAACAAAGGTAACAGCTAGTGTAATTGGAGGTTATAGATTGTTGACAAATAAAATAACGACAAGATTACATCAGTCGGTTTTATGACTTCGGATATCTATTCCATACCACTTATTCGACTGGTAATCGTATTATCTCTGTATTTTGTGGTCATTTGATGTAACGATATATACTCAAATATATCTCCAGTACACCAGCCCCGAGTAACCTAGTTTATAACTCAGCATCACATGGTTACTAACGATTGTTTGGTGTATTTATTGAATTGGAGATAAAAACTATTTAATAATATTTAAAAAGATTGTCATCAAGGACAAACCTAAACAAGTATTAATGATCTTAGGTCTGTATAGATATTGAATGACAACACAGAATAGAATAATTGTGATGTTGAAGTTTTTGAAAATTGATAACTAAAGTGAGATATGTCGGTCTAGTTCAATAAAAATACCATATTTTAGTCCATAAATCGAATTAACAATATTATTAAACAAATATTTTATTATTTATTTATATGATAAGCTAATAACATCTTCGACTAGTCAAGTTATTTTCCTCTACAGCAAAAAAAATCAACAAGTAAATCACTCTTACAAACGAAATATAAATTTATCATAGAATGTGTTTTAGAAACATAATGCATTACACTGGTAAAATATCGATTAGTTACAATTTGAAAGTATTCGACTCTTGAGGAGGAAAAAGGTCGGTATCAGTTTGCTGCCAGTGCTTGTAAATATAACAAAGTTGTTAATATCACTTACCCAGAACGCAAAGCTCTTGAATATTAAAATATTTTCTAAATTTGGTGTACATTTTGTAATATCTCTCTTATATTGTTTTGATTACATTCATCTTCGGAATCAATTGTTATCTTACTAAAATTTGACAAATGAAAGCATACATTTCAGAGCATCTTTTATCATTAAATTTACCACTAGACTGAACTTCTATACAGTTCTCACTTCCTCCATTATCATTAGGTTCATCAGATTTCCAGAACGACTCATCAACAGTAGTTCCACCAGTTATCCAGACAAATTCTTTACCATCATGTGATCTGTGTCCACCAACATAGACAGATTGGGTATCTGGTAAAAACAGAAACCAATTCATTAGCACTAACTTCTAAGAAAAAATCAATAACAGATTTGTCACTAATAAGAAGTGAAAAGTAACAGACTAACATCAGTAACAGACAGACATCAGTAACATGCAGACATCAGTAACAGACTGGCATTAGTAACAGGATAGACACCAGTAACAGACTGACATAAGTAGCAGACAGACATCAGTAGCAGACAGACATCAGGAGCAGACAGACATCAGTAACAGACAGACATAAGTAACAGCTAGACATCAGTAACAGACAGACATCGGCAGCAGACTGACATCAGTAGCAGACAGACATCAGTAACAGACAGACATCAGTAGCAGACAGACATCAGTAACAGACAGACATCAGTAACAGACAGACATCAGGAGCAGACTGACATCAGTAACGGACAGACTTCAGGAGCAGACAAACATCAGTAACAGATAGACACCAGTAGCAGACAGACATCAGTAGCAGACTGACATAAGTAACAGATAGACACCAGTAGCAGACAGACATCAGTAACAGATAGACACCAGTAACAGACTGACATCAGGAGCAGACAGACATCAGTAACAGACAGACATCAGTAACATGCAGACATAAGTAACATGGCAGACACCAGTCACAGACTGACACCAGGAACAGATAGACAAAGTAACGGGCAGTCATTAGTAGCAGACATCATACAATATTTTATGCCGCGGAAACTTCACAATATGCTAGTTGTACTTACGTGTATATAAAGATCTAAAATTATTAAAATCTTGTTGAGTATAAACTGATATCAAATGTCCACCATCTTGATTACAAATTGATTCAGAGTTTTTGAAATTTGTTTTGGCAGAAAAGAATTTTAAACAATATCTTTGTTCTGGAAATATTATGTAACCTTCTGATAAACAAGACGAAACATCTAAAAGTAAGAATAAGTTGTAATTATTTGGGGATACAAGTTGTAGCAATATTTGATGATGGATTATTACGACCTAAAGTAATCGTTATAAAAAAAATTGAGAAGAAACAAAAAACATGCCTCATGCGAAAAAGTTAAGACAGGTCCGGAAATACATGTGCTCAATCTCTGATCACTCTGTGATGTAAAGGGACAGATCCGATATTAGTTTGACCAATCGTGCTTTAGTCTAAGTAACGTATGGGTGATCACAGCTCACTGCCGAAATTTGAGCCTTCAAATACATGTTTGTCCAGAATCATCTGCGTTTTAAAGTCAAAATGAGGACTCGTCTTTCTTATGATCTCTGTAAGATATAGATTTGGTGCAATTCTGGAGGACAGTCCTGAACCAAAAATGATTATTTTAAATCTTACCTCGGTGAACTGTTCTTAATTTCGAGTTGGTCGTTACCGTTCCAGAAACCTGGCTAGCTTCCACATAAACTGGTGCTAAACAATAACAATCTTCTCCTTGATAATATATCTGATCCCAGTTGTAGAGAGATGAACAAGTTGCTGTACAGTAGATTAAACTAGAGTTTGATATCAAACTATAATAACTTGATGTAACAGGTCCAGTGTAAAACAATTTCTTCCAATAATTGAAAGTAGTTGTATTCTGTGGTTGTAATAAACTCGTTGTGTTTCGTATCAAAATTGTTAATATACAAAACAATATTCTACGACCCACACACATTTTTATTAGCAGGCGGATTTAATTTGGTTCCAACATTTCCATGTATTTAACTGTTGCACTTTTGAGTAACCAACTCGGAATACCTCAGTTCTATTTCAACTAGCAATACTTCAGTACTATTACAACTTATAGTTTAGTGCCTAATTCACAACAACATCTAACAGAGATCGTACCAGCTATTTGGTTTCTAAAAGTATTTTATAAATACATTGACGAGACGATATAATATTGACCCCACTCATTAATTAATATAATCCATAAACAAATATCAATTTCCGGTGAAAAATCCATCGATTTCAAAGGCTATTTCCTTTTTATTTTAATATGTTCTGCAGTACCTGATCTTTATCTCTGTCTTCACACCACAAATATTCTCCTATCAGGTCTCGTGTCTCTTGTCGCGGTACAGGTTACAGAGTATTGTGTAATTAACATTGGTATTTTACTCGACATTCCGGGTACAATGGCACCTCATGACTCCCCGCAGTTTTATTTACTGTTCTCTCCTATTGTCATTAACAGAATGACGAGTTGGGTCTCGGTCGCTCGGTACTCGATATCACTTTATAAATGTATAGCTTTACTCCAGTCAATACGCGTCAAGTCTTGATAGTTGATCACCCCAGGAGTTATTGAACATCATTAGTGTAACAGTACATTATTTAACAGTATTCCAATCACTGATTGATTCCGGATTATGTATCAGACAATGAGTTGTAATGAGATCTATAATCAAAACACAGAGATCCATCAAGGGTTCTCGAGCGTCCAATACGTCTTGATAAAATCATCCAAGCCTTACGGGAAGCGGTTTAATATAAGCAGTTTCTGTCTTGTTACTGTATCCTATTAGTTATGTAATATTTCTATATGTATCATTATTATCTTTGTTAATAAATGCTGTTTATACTGATATATGCCCTGTGATATACACACACGAGGTCCCCGTCACAGGTTTTCTACATATTGTACTGGTTCATTAGTAGCCTAAAACTTATAGTGTTGTCGTTTATTTTGGTGGAGAAAACTCTCCTCAAGAGACACGATGTCCCCGTCACAGGTTTTCTACATATTGTACTGGTTCATTAGTAGCCTAAAACATAATATACTGTTGTCGTTTATTAATGTATTTTCAAGATACACGATATTACGACAGTGTATGGTAAAAGTGATTTGATATATGCATTGTCTAACTAGGCATCAGCAGACTTGTTATACATAATATTTAATGACATTTCCAACTAGAAATAGAATGAATTAAGAAAATACCTTTTACCGACCCGTTTAGCCAGTGCCAATTCGTCTTTGTACTTACAATGATATGGTGGTCAAACCCTAATTAAAGATTGTATTGAAAGATGTTGGGTATATGGACAGCATGTTTGGTGTAGTGTAATAGTACTATTATGATCTGAAGAGTATTATCAACATTGTTTCATTAAACACTAATCTTAGGTATTATTGACCATCTCATCAAATATTATACCATCAAATACTATTAATACTAACATTATTCGTATTCTTGGCTTATTAGTTGTTACCTTACTACTTTTTATTTCCATTACAAAAAAGGTACTTGATTGAAGTTTTAAACAGCTTTTCGCTCAGTCGATTGTGTGGTTGAGTTCACATTTAGGATAATTTTCACTCCAGTCAACCAAGATATACATGATTACATGTACTGAATAAGTCACCTTTCCTCATTTGTCCAGTCGACTTAGCTATAAACGAGTACAGAATAAGTCATCTTTCCTCATTTGTCCAGTCGACTCAGCTGTAAACGAGTACAGAATAAGTCATCTTTCCTCATTTGTCCAGTCGACTCAGCTGTAAACGAGTACAGAATAAGTCATCTTTCCTCATTTGTCCAGTTGACTCAGCTGTAAATGGGTACTGAATAAGTCATCTTTCCTCATTTGTCCAGTCGACTCAGCTGTAAACGAGTACAGAATAAGTCATCTTTCCTCATTTGTCCAGTCGACTCAGCTGTAAACGAGTACAGAATAAGTCATCTTTGCTCATTTGTCCAGTCGACTCAGCTGTAAACGAGTACAGAATAAGTCATCTTTCCTCATTTGTACAGTTGACTCAGCTGTAAATGAGTACTGAATAAGTCATCTTTCCTCGTTTGTCCAGTCGACTCAGGTCCGTATGTAACGAACTAACATCGCGTCTAATGGGAGTGAAGGTTAACTGACAGAGTCTGTATGTAAAGAACTAACATCGTGTCTAATTGAAAACGAAGGTTAATTGACAGGGTCTGTATGTAACGAACTAACATCGCGTTTAATTTGAGTGAAGGTTAATCGACAGGGTCCGCATGTAACGAACTAACATCACATCTAATGGGAGTGAAGGTTAACTGACAGAGTCTGTATGTAAAGAACTAACATCGTATCTAATTGAGAATGAAGGTTAACTGACAGGGTCTGCATGTAAAGAACTAACATCGTATCTAATTGAGAATGAAGGTTAATCGACAGGGTCCGCATGTAACGAACTAACATCACATCTAATGGGAGTGAAGGTTAACTGACAGAGTCTGTATGTAAAGAACTAACATCGTATCTAATTGAGAATGAAGGTTAACTGACAGGGTCTGCATGTAAAGAACTAACATCGTATCTAATTGAGAATGAAGGTTAATTGACAGAGTCTGTATGTAAAGAACTAACATCGTATCTAATTGAGAATGAAGGTTAACTGACAGGGTCTGCATGTAAAGAACTAACATCGTATCTAATTGAGAATGAAGGTTAATCGACAGGGTCCGCATGTAACGAACTAACATCACATCTAATGGGAGTGAAGGTTAACTGACAGAGTCTGTATGTAAAGAACTAACATCGTATCTAATTGAGAATGAAGGTTAACTGACAGGGTCTGCATGTAAAGAACTAACATCGTATCTAATTGAGAATGAAGGTTAATTGACAGAGTCTGTATGTAAAGAACTAACATCGTATCTAATTGAGAATGAAGGTTAATTGACAGGGTCCGCATGTAACGAACTAACATCACATCTAATGGGAGTGAAGATTAACTGACAGAGTCTGTATGTAAAGAACTAACATCGTATCTAATTGAGAATGAAGGTTAACTGACAGAGTCTGTATGTAAAGAACTAACATCGTATCTAATTGAGAATGAAGGTTAACTGACAGAGTCTGTATGTAAAGAACTAACATCGTGTCTAATTGAAAACGAAGGTTAATTGACAGGGTCTGTATGTAACGAACTAACATCGCGTTTAATTTGAGTGAAGGTTAATCGACAGGGTCCGCATGTAACGAACTAACATCACATCTAATGGGAGTGAAGGTTAACTGACAGAGTCTGTATGTAAAGAACTAACATCGTATCTAATTGAGAATGAAGGTTAACTGACAGGGTCTGCATGTAAAGAACTAACATCGTATCTAATTGAGAATGAAGGTTAATTGACAGAGTCTGCATGTATCGATCTGACATAGTGTCTTATTGAAAATTAAGGCTAATTGACAGAGTCTGCATGTATCGAACAGACATCGTGTCTAATTGAGAATGAAGTTTAATTGACAGAGTCTGCGTGTAACAAACTAACATCGTGACTAATTGAAAATGAAAGTTAATTGTAACTGATATGTCAAGGGGAAGTAACTGATTAGTAAATTGTAAATGGCATGTTGTAATCTGTAATGTCAATATTAGTATTCTGAGGTTGTTCTGTCGATATTGAATAAAAAGGATTTACTCATTTAAATATTAACCTAATTCCGTGCGGAACAGATCTCGGCTTCTGTTAATTAAACATGGTCTGAATAGGTATATGTTGGTTTTCACCTTATCATTTTGACACATAAATTGCAAATAAGATAATTATGAATAAATCTTTGAATCATGGATTTCGATTCGGATAGGTTCTTGTCGGTTTCCCTCTAGTGATAATCAGTAAATTCAACATGAGACAATGGAGAGGAAATCGAGGTCATGTGAATATTGCTAATTATTAATTTTGATATCTTGTCTTTTGTTTATTGTTTGTTTGGATTATACAGTAAGATGTATTTTAATCAGAACCCGATTCAGAAAATCAATTCGCTTCATGAATTAATTGTATTAACCACTTTATGCATATAACTATACCTTGTTTCGTTCAGGTTCAAAAGCGTTTTGTTGCTTTCTACTAAGAGAGTCATGTCTGAACAATAGCTCTGTTAAAGTTTCCTTTGTAATGTTCTGTTTTCAAAAAACGTTTTACAACCGCCCCCCTCCCTTCTGTTATATTTGATATGACATAACTCGTCCAGTAAAAAGCAAAACAAAACGCCATGAAATGTCTTAATCAACGCAAGTGTGGTGACTTGACCCAAAGATAGCGTCAAATTAAAGTTACTGAAACGCAGAAATGTGGAATTTCAGTTGTTATTAGAATAAATAAGACATCTTATCACTCAACTGATGATGAACGATGATCCTCCGCTCCACGATAATACGTACATTGTATCCTCATTTTATCAATATTTGACAAATAAAAGCATAGGCAATATTACAACGCATATCGTTAAATGGACCATTAGACTGAACTTCTATACAGTTTTCACTCCCTCCATTATCATCAGGTTCATTAGATTTCCAGAACGACTCATCAACAGTTCCACCAGTTATCCAGACAAATTCTTTACCATGTGATCTGTGTCCACCAACATAGACAGATACATTATCTGGTAAAAAAACCAAAGTAACCAAGTAATCTATATCAAAGATGTATGCAGCCAATACCATACATAGCTCTAACATCAGCAAGAGAAAATTCAACTTAAATTACTCATTGACAAGAATTTATCCTCATAAACAGTTTCATCTAGATTAACTTTTGTCAAAGTGTTAATACGTCAAAGAGGAATACTTTGCCGGACTGGCAGCATCAGCCTACTCTTTCAATTTTCTAATTGATCGATGGGTCTTTAATGCGTCCCCTATTTATTGTTTTATCCGAACAATACGCTTATTCATGCCAGTACCTTCGACGTGCATCAATGGTACTCGTTCAGTAGATAAAAACGTTGTATTGTCTGTATGCATTACCAAACTTATTATATTTATCAAATTTATTATAAATGATTAAACAATTGAATCCCCGGAGACAGCGCTGCATTCTGTTGTCTGTTTTTCTCAAGAATTTTGATAAAACATTTCACTAAGTCTCTGATTGAGATTAAACATAAAAATTAGGAAGAAATAAATCACACGATAACGTGCAAACAGTAGGTAAAAGGCCAATTATTGACTAATCAAAAGTAGACGAGAAAGGTGCTATCTCTACGAAGAACAACACTAATCTGAAAAAATGGTAAATTTAGCTTAGTAAGATGAACAAGAAAATATTTTTTCTAAGACGTCAAAGTTATTGGTGTCGCTCAGCTTTATGGAGGAACCGCAGTGAGATGAATATTATTCATAGTCTTGGAACCTTCACACCTGCAGAGATGACAAACAATTCTCATTTTGAAATAAGTCTTTTTGACCTTGTATCAATATTTTGTTTATGCAACTCATGTAACCTTTCTAGTTTCTGTACAACTTTTTAAACTCTTTCATCTCATTTTCTTATTAGTCGTTTTTGTTTCCATGACCTATATCTTTTTAGTTTATTACCTCCCTTGAAAAAATATTTTCTTGTTCATCTAACTAAGCTGAATGTACCATATTTTGTCAGATTAGTGTTGTTCTTCATAGAGATATTACCTTTCTTGCCTACTTTTGATTTTGTTTTTTTGCTTGATAAAGGGATTAGGCACGAATCATAGCCACATCTACTCTAATTGTATTAACTTTTTACCTACTGTTTGTACTAGACAATACCATGAAACCTCTTTGTAATGTTTTTGAAGATAAACACAGGACAGAAATGAAATATTTATAAAAGAAAAACGAACGTTGACTTACTCGTATTTAGAGATTTAAAATTATTAAAATCTTGTAGAGTATAAACGGAAATAATATGACCACCATCTTGTTGACAGGTTGATTCAGCGTTAATAAAATTTTGTTTATTTCGAAATAATTTTAAACAATATCGCTGGTTTAGAAACGTTGTGTATTTATTCTCAGAACAGAAAGAAACGTCTGAAATAATAAAATTTATGGTAGATGCAACTTGATCTTTACCAATCATACTCACAGCCTTCCCTACACTTGTTTCTCTATGATAGTCACCAAAACTATCTGTAAAACTATCTGATAAAAGAGATGATTTCAATTTCCCGATTATTAACTTTAATTTCCTCAATCACCTGCCCTTGACGTGTACGTGTGAATTGCTTCAACCTTCGAGTATGTTCTCTTAGAAGTAAAGAATTAACTTCTCAAATTCTTAAATAGGGTACAATATCCTCGAAATTGAGTCTCGATTGAATATATACAGGTGTGTATAATAAACTGGTGCGTATTATATACAATTGCGTACTGTTTATACAATATTGCTCGCCATACAAGGTGCGTTCTATACACTGGTGCATATGTACATGTATATAGTACGTTGTATTTTTTATTAGCGCATATTCTTCCCTTAGGACGAGAATTCTCTTTAAGTGTGTCTCACGCGACATGACGTCATTTGTATTTGGTCTTAAGAATCACCAGGACATAATTGCCACAGTGTCGTTCACATTTCAAGTATATCTCTTTTATAATAATAATAATAATAATAATAATAAACTATTTATTTTGCATGGGTCAGATACACAAAGACATGGTCCTGTCTAACATTCAGCCCACGAGAATTAAGGATCCGATTCAAGAGCAGTGTTCAAACAAGACGGTGAAATAACAGAAATACCTACCGTGATATCGTATCCTAATTGACGAGTTGGTCGTTACCGTTCCAGAAACCTGGCTAGCTTCCATATAAACTGGTGCTAAACAATAACAATCTTCTCCTTGATAATATATCTGATCCCAGTTGTAGAGAGATGAACAAGTTGCTGTACAGTAGATTAAACTAGAGTTTGGTATCAAACTGTAATAATTAAATGTAACGGGTCCAGTGTAAAGAAATTCTTCCCGAAACTGTTGATAGTGAAACTCCATGATTGTGATATCGATATTGTTATAACATAAAACAGTCTTCTATATGACACGTACATCTTTCTTGATAAATATTATTCTTTCTTGATAGTTCAGATAATCGCCAAGAGAAGTGTCCGCCTGTCTATTAAAAGTTCGCAATCACAAGGAGAAAACGGAAATGTATCTACCCAAATCATTGTCCAAAAAACATATCAAGTATACCTATTCAAACCACAAGGCCTTTCTTAAGTTAAAAAGAGAACAGTATTTCTATTCAGATTTCAGTTTTAAACATGCCGTTCTGGGTTAAAAGTAGACATGAAATGAGTTGAATAAAAATACATGTATTCTATTGAGAAGTGTACCATACACTCATCTGGTATTTTAAACAAGGGACACCTCTCTCTGTTATATCATCGCTTTCTGAAATAAAAACTGTGGAACTAGATAACAGTATATATTCTGGTTAAGTCTACATGATTCGACCTCCAAGCATCCCAGAATCAACTTAAACATGGGGTGAAAAGTATTGTTGTTGATGATACAGTATTTGTTTAATTACATCATTTATTGATGAAGGTTTTGCAGTACATCTTAATTAAAGAAGTTACCCACCATAAAAAGAGTTTTTTCATTAAAGTATGCAATAGAAGTTCGATTCTCGATATATCAAAATCAATACCTATTACAATGGTTGTATAAAGGTTATTTTAATTTCGTTCAATTTGGTAAATATTATAATTAACTCAATTCATATAAATATCATTCAAATATTTTCACTGTTAAACTAGTGCTCAATACATCAACGGTAGTATAGAAATAATAATACATCAATTGTAGAGCTATATAGAAATACTACTGTTAAAATAGTACTCAATACATCAATTGTAGAGTGATATAGAAATACTACTGTTAAAATAGTACTCAATACATCAATTGTAGTGTGATATAGAAATACTACTGTTAAAATAGTACTCAATACATCAATTGTAGAGTGACATAGAAATACCACTGTTAAAATAGTTCTCAATACATCAATTGTAGAGTGATATAGAAATACCACTGTTAAAATAGTTCTCAATACATCAATTGTAGAGTGACATAGAAATACCACTGTTAAAATAGTTCTCAATACATCAATTGTAGAGGGGTATAGAAATACTACTGTTAAAATAGTACTCAATACATTAATTGTAGTGTGATATAGAAATACCACTGTTAAAATAGTTCTCAATACATCAATTGTAGTGTGATATAGAAATACCACTGTTAAAAAAAGTGCTCAATACATCAATTGTAGTGTGATATAGAAATACCACTGTTAAAATAGTGCTCAATATATCAATTGTAGAGTGATATAGAAATACCACTGTTAAAATAGTGCTCAATACATTAATTGTAGTGTGATATAGAAATACCACTGTTAAAATAGTGCTCAATATATCAATTGTAGAGAGATATAGAAATACCACTGTTAAAATAGTGCTCAATGCATCAATTGTAGTGTGATATAGAAATACCACTGTTAAAATAGTTCTCAATACATCAATTGTAGTGTGATATAGAAATACCACTGTTAAAAAAAGTGCTCAATACATCAATTGTAGTGTGATATAGAAATACCACTGTTAAAATAGTGCTCAATATATCAATTGTAGAGTGATATAGAAATACCACTGTTAAAATAGTGCTCAATATATCAATTGTAGAGTGATATAGAAATACCACTGTTAAAATAGTGCTCAATATATCAATTGTAGAGAGATATAGAAATACCACTGTTAAAATAGTGCTCAATGCATCAATTGTAGTGCGATATAGAAATACCACTGTTAAAATAGTGCTCAATACATCAATTGTAGAGTGATATAGAAATACCACTGTTAAAATAGTGCTCAATACATCAATTGTTGAATGATATAGAAATACCACTGTTAAAATAGTTCTCAATACATCAATTGTAGAGGGGTATAGAAATACTACTGTTAAAATAGTACTCAATACATCAATTGTAAAGTGATATAGAAAAACCACTGTTAAAATAGTGCTCAATACATCAAATGTAGAATGATATAGAAATACCACTGTCAAAATAGTTCTCAATACATCAATTGTAGAGGGGTATAGAAATACCACTGTTAAAACAGTGTTCAATACATCAATTGTTGCGCGATATAGAAATACCACTGTTAAAATAATTCTCAATAAATCAATTGTAGAGTGATATAGAAATACCACTGTTAAAAAAGTGCTCAATACATTAATTGTAGAGTGATATAGAAATACCACTGTTAAAATACTGCTCAATACATCAATTGTAGAGTGATATAGAAATACCACTGTTAAAATACTGCTCAATACATCAATTGTAGAGTGATATAGAAATACCACTGTTAAAATAGTGCTCAATACATCAATTGTAAAGCTATATAGAAATACCACTGTTAAAATAGTACTCAATACATCAATTGTAGAGTGATATAGAAATACCACTGTTAAAATAGTGCTCAATACATCAATTGTAGAGTGATATAGAAATACCACTGTTAAAATAGTGCTCAATACATCAATTATCGAGTGATATGGAAATATCTCTGTTAAAATAGTGCTCAATACATCAATTGTGGAGTGATATAGAAATACCACTGTTAAAATAGTACTCAATACACCAATTGTAGAGCGATATAGAAATATTTAGATATAACTTGAATCATGTTGTTACTCAGAGTTTCACGCCAATTAAGCACGGCATTATATCGTGTTATGTTTATAAGTAGAGCGTGTTGACATGGTGGATACAGGCTGTAGATGGAAGTCCTAATTTTCCACTCCAGATCGTGCTTAATATATGAAATATATTGCCAGTATAATATTACCAACTGAACATGATATAAATTAAATTCTGGCCGAAACTATTTAGAGGATGATATCCCTTGAATAAAATAAAGAAGTTTAAGACTTTGATGTTCTGTTAATTAAGTCTCAAGAAGAATAAGAAATAACGACAGTGTGACGAATATTGACAGTGTGACAGTATGACGAATATTGTGAGGAATATTGACAGTGTGACAGTATGGCAAACATTGTGAGGAATATTGACAGTTTGAAGAATATTGACAGTGTGGCAGTGTGACGAATATTGTGAGGAATATTGACAGTGTGGCAGTGTGACGAACATAAATAGTCTGAAGAATATTGACAGTGTGACGACTATTGACATTATGACATTATGACGAATATTGTGAGGAATATTGACAGTGTGATAGTGTGACGAACAGTGACAGTTTGAAGAATATTGACAGTGTGACGAATATTGACAGTGTGACATTATGACAAATATTGTGAGGAATATTGACAGTGTGACAGTATAACGAATACTGTGAGGAATATTGACAGTGTGATAGTGTGACGAACATTGACAGTTTGAAGAATATTGACAGTGTGATAGTGTGACGAACAGTGACAGTTTGAAGAATATTGACAGTGTGACGAATATTGACAGTGTGACAGTATAACGAATATTGTGAGGAATATTGACAGTGTGATAGTGTGACGAACATTGACAGTTTGAAGAATATTGAGAGTGTGACGAATATTGACAGTGTGACAGTATGACGAATATTGTGAGGAATATTGACAGTGTGATAGTGTGACGAACATTGACAGTTTGAAGAATATTGACAGTGTGACGAATATTGACAGTGTGACATTTTGACAAATATTGTGAGGAATATTGACAGTGTGATAGTATGGCAAACATTGTGAAGAATATTGACAGTGTGACGAATATTGACAGTGTGACAGTGTGACAAACATTGACAGCTTGAAGAAATAACGACAGTGTGAGGAATATTGACAGTGTGACAGTATGACGAATATTGACAGTGTGACGAATATTGACAGTGTGACAGTGTGACAAACATTGACAGCTTGAAGAAATAACGACAGTGTGAGGAATATTGACAGTGTGACAGTATGACGAATATTGACAGTGTGACGAATATTGACAGTGTGACAGTGTGACAAACATTGACAGCTTGAAGAAATAACGACAGTGTGAGGAATATTGACAGTGTGACAGTTTGAAGAATATTGACAGTGTGACGAATATTGACAGCGTGACAGTGTGACAAACATTGACAGCTTGAAGAAATAACGACAGTGTGAGGAATATTGACAGTGTGACAGTATGACGAATATTGTGAGGAATATTGACAGTGTGACAGTGTGACGAACATTGTTAAGAATATTGACAGTGAGACGGTAAATATTTTGACAAGTAGCAAACAATATTTGTACATTAATCCAGAATTCAAAACTGACTCAATGTGTGCAAAAAAGAGACTAGTTTATCGAAGAACGAATTCATTCTAAAGTTAGCAAAACGTTCATGACTTTTATGATATTAATGTTTTTTAGTTATTATATGCTGGACTGGAGTAAATTGATGCTATCAGTGTCCCCTATATACAAAATTGTAGAAACCTCTTTACAATCACCTTTAAGATAGAATATAACATCATTATTAACTCAAATAATCTATGCTTGTATTCCTAAAACTATGCTTTCAAGTCTGCTGAACGCCATTTTTCTGTTTATAATGCACTGAAATAAACATTGTCTTTCTTTACACATTTGTCTTGGATTATCATACGTTCATATTCTGTGAGGCGTTGTGGTGTTGCAGTAGTCAGCCACATTCATTGGATGGATTTCTAAAGCAATACAATACACTAGTTACTTCCCTTGAAATGAAAAATTTCTCAATAATACCATTTCAGATTTATTATATATACTTTTTCCTACTAATGCAGATATTGTATACATTATTTTTGTACTATGTTTTAAGGAGAGTGTAACATAGGCGCAAGCCTGTTCCCAATCCTAATGACTGGGACGTAAACCTGGCTCCGCCACTGTAGATAACTATACAGATTACAATGTACACAAAACACAAAAAAGTATCTTTATAAATTGTTTCAAATAAAAGTGTTGTATTTCGTTTTAATAGGCCATATCTATTCTATTCCTCGACATGTCGTCTGCTATCCATAAATAATACCTTATTCAGCAAAAACTGTGACTACGATACTATTTATAGTAACAATCATGATTCATTTGTTTCTGTGTCGAAACTCAGTCCTCAAGAAAAATCATCTGGATTTCACAGTTTTAGTCATCAAAACTTATAAGTTAAAGATTTATTTATTATAAGAATTTATTATTACTAACACAAAATAAACAAAAAATATCATGACTGACTTTTCATATCGTTTGCCGACTTTTAACGAACGATAATCGATTGTGGCCGACCATGGGAACATCACTATTTGCAACCGAGTTTAATGACACAATACTTTGGTTTGAATAATGTATGAACATGATGCAAAATTATCCCCACATATTTGTAAAATAGTAAGTTATGTATCCTTTGTTCTAAAATGTCTTTGGAATAAATAATCACATTTATAATTTACTGTGTTCATTCTTTGTATTTTATTTTAGATCATCGTATCGGTTTGAACATTATATAATATTATATATACCCGTTCTTCATAAAAGTTTTGTTCTTTGTTTGTCAAATCCCATTTAGACTAATCAATTTGAAAGGTAGAATGTAGAAGTATCAAAGTGAACTCAACTTATTACAGATATATTACAAGCTCTTTGGAATTGTAAAAAGGTTTTTCTCAACTTCTCATGTGTATCGATGGCAATTCAAATTTTCAATCAGAGGTCTGTGGTACCATTTAACGTTACTATCACAAAATATGCTTAGCGATAGTGACGCAATTTAACGCCTAGTTGACTATTGGGTTATCTAACCAATGGGAGGACACCAACCTATAGATGGGCTCGTATTAAGACTGTCAACAACTAAAGTCTCCTATTGAATCAGATGGGAGAAGGCTAGAAAGTAGCTATTAAATAGAATTTAAGGTCAAATCGAACCAATTTAAGGAAACACTATTCATTTGACATTTGAAGGAAATAAAGGTAAGTAGTTATTTTATAAACGTGGGGGAATTCAACTTAAAATA